AGAGACAGAGACAGAGACTGAGAGACTCCTTGCCTTGCTCTGTGACTGGGCTTGTATGTTGAACGCATCACACCTCAACCAAAAAACCCAGTCAACAAATGCCCATCAAGTCAACTTGCCTCCATCAACAATAAATAAGTAGCTCGTGCAAGGAAATTCCAGTTATTTCTTTAATCCTCTCCATACACATAAATCATGGTTCCCACCCCTGCCCCCTTTCTGCTTCTCTTAATAGTCTTCCCCCCCCCCCCTCATTCTGCATGCTTGTAGAAAGCACTGCTCTTACTGATCATAACTTCAGTCAGTCTTTATTTTTTCCTGGTTGTTGATCAGTCGCTAAGTTGTGTCCAGCTCCTTGCGACCCCATGGATTATAGCCGTGGTGGCGAACCTATGGCATGCGTGCCACTGGTGACATGCAGAGCCCTCTCTGTGGGCACTCGCCCCAGTCTTAGGCCTTCAGCTGGGTTTTATAAAACCTTTTCGCTTTAGGCCTCCGCCGCCGTGTGCAAAAAAAAAAAGTTCAATCAATCAATCAAATTTGCAGATGACACCAAGCTGGCAGGAATAGCCAACGCTCCAGAAGACAGGCTTAGGATACAGGAGGATCTGGACAGACTTGAACACTGGGCGCTATCTAACAAAATGAAATTCAATCATGAAAAAAGCAAGGTTCTACATTTAGGCAAGAAAACCCAAATGTACAGGTATAATATAGGGGGTACCTTGCTCAATAGTAGTAACTGTGAGAGGGACCTCGGAGTCCTAGTGGACAATCACTTAAATATGAGCCAGCAGTGTGCTGCAGCTGCCAAAAAGGCCAACACAGTGCTGGGCTGCATTAACAGAGGGATAGAATCAAGATCATGTGAAGTGTTAATACCACTTTACAATGTCTTAGTAAGGCCACACTTGGAATACTGCATCCAGTTTTGGTCACCACGATGTAAAAAAGATGTTGAGACTCTAGAAAGAGTACAGAGAAGAGCAACAAAGATGATTAGGGGACTCGAGGCCAAAGCATATAAGGAAAGGCTGCTGGAATTGGGTATGTCTAGTTTAATGAAGAGAAGGACGAGGGGGGACATGATAGCAGTATTTCAGTATCTCAGGGGCTGCCACAAAGAAGAGGGAGTCAAGCTATTCCCCAATGCACCTGAAGGCAGGACTAGAAGCAACGGATGGAAACTAATCAAGGAGAGAAGCAACCTAGAACTAAGGAGAAACTTCCTGACAGTTAGAACAATTAACCAGTGGAACAACCTGCCTCCAGAAGCGGTGAATGCTCCAACACTGGAAGTTTTTAAGAAGAGACTGGACAGCCATTTGTCTGTAATGGTATAGGGTTTCCTGCCTGAGCAGGGGGTTGGACTAGATGACCTCCAGGGTCCCTTCCAACTTTATTATTATTATTATTATTATTATTATTATTATTATTATTATTATTATTATTATTATTATTATTATTATTATTATTATTATTATTATTATTATTATTATTATTATTAAACTTCTCGCGGGGAAAAAAACATCTCGCAAAGTTGGTATTGGTTGATTGAACTTTTTAGTCCCACCCAGTCTGCCGTTACCACCGCAGCCACGCTCACCCAATGGGCCACACCCACCCGGCACACGATGATACATAAGTGGGTTTTGGGTTGCAGTTTGGGCACTCAGTCTCTAAAAGCTTCGCCATTACTGGATTATAGCATGCCAGACACAGACAGACAGACAGACACACACACACACACAAATCCTCCACTGTCTCCCTGAATCTGCCCAAACTCATTGCCCACTGCATCAGTGACACCATCTAACCATCTCATCCTCTTCCATCTTTCCCAACATCAGGGGTCTTTTCCAATGAGTCCTCATTTGGTAGCCAAAGTATCTGAGCTTCATTTCCCCCCCTCAATCAATTGATTAATTCTTCTTATAGAACATGTATTTTAGTAACCTTCTCCAAACTAAAATTTGAAGTTATTCTGTCAGTATTCGACTTTCATAGTTGCACATAACCGCAAATGAAAAAGCATCACTACTGCTATTCTGATCTTTGATGTTACTGAAATCCTCTTAATTCTTCAGGATACTTCCCACTGCTTTCCTTCCAAGGAGGAACAAAACTATTTCCCTTTCTTGATATGAAGTTAAGAGACCAAACTTACATAATCTCTAGACTACACATTCTTTTTTTTTTTAATCAAATTTTTATTAATTTTTTAAATGAACAAATAGATACAATTATGGCATACATTAATAAAAAAAAATAAAAAACATAAAAACCTCATATTCCAAGACTACACATTCTTGTTTCAGAACTGTTGACAGAAATCCACTTTGCTTCCAACCAGCAAAGTCAATTGAGGAAGCCAGATTTGCTTAATAACCATGTGATTCACTTAACAACTCACATGATTTACTTAACAGCTGCAGTAGAACGGTTCTGAATTCAGGCCCAGTCATGTGATGACTTACCCAACAACCACATCATTTAGCAAATGCAGATCGGTCCCATAAGTCCAGAACTACCCGTACAGCTACTATTATTTTTCTAGGTTTAACCGGTATATTTGACACCAGTAACGTGTGATTTGTTTCACAATTTGTTCCTGGAAATATCTCGACTTCTTTCAGATTCTGGATATCAGCTTCATTCTTGGAACAGCTTCTTTCTAGCAGTATTGTTCGAAATGTTCTGGTCATAGGAGACACGCTCAAAGAGTTGGACCATTTTCCATTTTGAGGATTCTGAGCTCAAAGCAAAGCTCTTACATTTCAAGGCTTTGTTGCGAAGGAACACGGCTGGCCTGGAACACTTGATGGCATTGTGACTGGGCTTTTTTTGTTCCGAGCATGAACTAAAACATGTTTCCTGTTTGTTTGTACCTCTGCTTCAGAGAATAATTGCTTTTTCTGTCTGTCCCAGCCCAATCTTTGTTCTCAGAGCATGTGGGAGCACATTCTGCATGTTTGCCAGCCACGGCTAGCTTGCTATGTTAGCTAGTACAAATGTTACAGTCAGGTGGTGGGGACAGAAGGGATTTAAGACCTACATTTTGCCTTTTGTAGCTTGCTGCCTGGCTCTAGAAGGGCTGGATGCTTAGCAATTTGTTCTTACACTGTCTTGAACTAATTTAAGTCTAAATCTAACTAAGAGAAGGACTAAGGGTGACACGATAGCACTGTTCCATACTTGAGGGCCTGCCACAAAGAAGAGGGGAGTCAACTTATTCTCCAAAGCACCTGAAGGCAGGACAAGAAGCAAAGGATGGAAACTAATCAAGGAGAGAAGCAACCTGGAACTAAGGAGAAACTTCCTAAGAGTGAGAACAATTAATCAGTGGAACGGCTTCACCTTCAGAAGTTGTGTGTGCTCCAACCCTGGAGGTTTTAAAGAAGAGACAGCCATATGTCTGGAATGGTATACGGTCTCCTCCTTGAGCAGGGAGGTGGCCTAGAAGACCTCCAAGGTCCCTTCCAACTCTACCCTGTATCTGGTACCCTTTCTTGCTGCCCATAGCATCATCATCATCACCATCACAATAACAACAGTGATAATGATAGAGTTGGAAGAGACTTTGGAGGTGTTCTACTCCAATCCCCTGCTCAGTCAGGAAACCCTATACCATTTCAGACAAATGGCTGTCCAGTCTCTTCTTAAAAACATCCAGTGTTGGAGCATCCAGAACTTCTGGAGGCAGGTTGTTCCACAGTATTGGAACATTCCTCTTGGAATACTGTACATCTAGCAGACGGGTGTTTCATCTCCAGAAGTCTTAAGGCTGGAAGGGAAACAGTTCCTGGGAGGAAGCAAAGGAGGCCTGTCTATATCTCTTGCTTAAGAAAAGGGATTTTAACTGTTGGGAACCATGATGGGAGTTTAAAGAGTCATGCAAGAAGCTTGTATTGGCATCAGCATTGTGCGTGCTCATATTCCATTTGTTTGATTTGTGGCATTTAATACATAAATTGGCAGTAGCGTCCGCAGTCCAAAGAACCTTACAATAAATTAAACACGCATGGCAGTCTTCAGACTCCTTACTAAATTGCTTGGGGTCCACCACAGAGCTTGTAAGAGCTGGTCAAAACCTAAACAGAAGATCCCTGAGTTCTCACTTGTTCTTGTTGACTAAATTTAAATGGAGCATATAAATTCTGCTTTGTTGGTAAAACACATGGCCTTCACCTAATGGGTTGACTTTAAATCTCTAAACTTGGAAGTGAAGAAATACTTGGCATGGGAAGTGGGGGACCATTTCTCAACCTGAGCCACTTTTAAGATGTGTGAACTTCAACTCCCAGAAGTCCACAGCCAGCGTGCTTTAGGATGTTACTTGTTATTAATTTAATGAAACATTGACTAACGTTTTACGTAAGAATTGACAGTATTTCATTTCATTCAGTAGTTTTTTTTTAAATTGGCTTACCTAATCCTGATGTCGTGCAGGTATGAGGCGTTGGAATTGTACCCGTAGTTCAAGTGATATTAGTTCATAAACTTTTTAGTTCAATTTCAATAGAATTATTCGATGCACACTAGCTTTTCCCCCCCTTTTTTTCCTCTCTTCCTTGCAGATTTCCACAAGACAGCGCCCTATGTGGTCACCGGCAGCGTAGATCAAACAGTAAAAGTGTGGGAGTGCCGTTGATTGGATTTACATCTGACCCCTCCCCTCCCCTTCCTGTCCCTCTGGATGCACTCGGATACCATGGTTACCCATTGAGCTCTGTTTAAAATAAATATTGTCCTTTCATGTAAATTATTCTGGATGTAGATTGAGCTTATTAAATGTTACACACAAAGTATTCATGCATGGTGAATCCAAATTGTATACTGTAAATTTACATACGTTGTCTAGAAGTACCATAGGTTTAAGAATTTGGGCTGGCATTGGTCACATCAGACCTAAGAAGGCAGAAGCTGGTTGGTTGAATTAGGGGCACTTCAACTGGTGACAGCAAAATCATTCTGTACTGGATAAGCTGAATCCCCGACTCTACTGTCGGTGGTGCCTATTTACTAAGTGACTCATAACGGGGTTCTTTTTTGGGCCGGGGCGGGCGGGAGGGTTATTTCAGAAACACGTATCTCTGTAACATCACTTAAGTATGCTTAAGAAATCTAAAGATACTAGATTTAAAACAAAGCTGCAACTTAGAATCTTAAATGTAATTAATGGAAACAAATAAAATTTCTTGTTTTTTTCTCCCCCTGTCATGGTATTTGCCAAATCAATAGGGTATATTTCTGTTTTGGTTTCCTATCACGTTTAAACAAAAAGAAGAAGAAGGGGGAAAAAAGCAAAAAGTTATAGTATGTTCATACTACCAAGCTGCAAAATAGGAAGAGAAACCTTGGTATGATGTGTGTGTACTCCCCCCACCCCCCCCACCCCAAAATTTGGTTGTCGGACATCCTTGCGTTCTAACATTTGACGCTTCACGCAAAACCCGTTGTAGGAGGCTGGAAGTCTTGGTCTTCCTTCACTATCACTTGGAGCAGTTAAGAGGTGAATCTTCCCCCCCAGTTGACTCCCGAGGGTTCAGCCATGCTGTCTCTCGGTTGGTTTTGATTATGGTTTCAGGTTTGTGCAACACCAACAGTAGGGAAAAGCCATCACCTCTCTTCCCCTTCTTCCAAACCCCCCCCCCCCCAAGCTGCTGGATGTTTATTAAGTGGGACAGTTCTGCACTCCCTTCCTTTTCCAGTTAGTAACTCCTCAAAGCAAGCAGTCCCAGATTTCCGAATGTTTTGTGGAGAACGTAGCAAGCTCTTAAGAGTACTACAAAAATTCCTGTTACAGCAAATGAAGAAGAGTTATATGCTGATTGATACCTTGCAAGTTTCTAGGTCAGTGTTTCTCAACCTTAGCCATTTTAAGATGAGTGGACTTCAACTCCCAGAATTCCCAGTCATCTTAAAGCGACTAAGGTTGAGAAACACTGCTCTCGATCATTTCATAACCACGTTTTGTTCCTTAATGCCACTCCACGCACCCCTAAACCTATTCTTCTTAAGGAAATGCAGGCCGCAGTCCTATTTCAATATGGAAAATTCGAAGAAAAGTCCTAAATTGTCCCTAATGCCGATCGTCTCCTAGTAAATGTACTTACCCCATTTGTCAGCACCAAAAAATCTAATCTTAACTAATCAGGCATATCTTTTTCTACCCCCAAATCCACTTCAGATGAATGTAGCATGCTGCCAATCAGACCTATTTTAAGAGAAAAGGGTTATTTGCTTTTATTTTGTTCTATGACTTATTTAACAAACAAACAAAAAGCAAAAAGTCTCCTTGTAAACAACAAGTAAGAGAAACACATTTTGGGAGGATTGAAATGCATGCCAAGAGAAAGAAGATTCCATCACAAACATTGGTTCACCCCACCGATTTTTTTTTGTATGTATGTGTGTGTGTTGAGGGTATTTGGGTTTCTTATCCAGGAACTAGGAGACCAAAGGTAGTTTGAGGGTAGAGGCTGGATGTTATCCTGTCATTTTGTGGTCAGCAAGAACTTTCCGCTAGTAGACCTTGGATATTGGAGGTTTTCTACTTTAAAGCGATGATTTTGGGGGGTTTTTTTGAACGTGTAAACAATTCCTGCTAACAGCTGGAAAATATTTCTTGGCCAGATGTAGTGACTCTAATGTTTTTTTTTTCAAGTGGAAGTAAACATATTAGCATAATCAGTAAAACAAGGGTACCTTACTAATGGGAGCTTACCACTGTTGCTTTTTTCTACTGAAACAGCAAACAGCGATTGAGGCAAAATGTTTTTCTTCAATTAATTTGGGGAGAAAGGCACTTGCAAATTTGCCCCTTAATTAATAGTCCATCGTCAGCAAGCGTTCTCAGGGATGGTTGTGGGTTTAACTAGTTAACTAGCCCCGTTTTCAACACAAAACCAAATGGGAAAAAAATTCACTGTTGAAGCATTTGGTCATTCAAGCATGGGCAAAGTGGCTACAAAGCGCCAGATTTCTCTACGGACGGTTCTGTCTGTTGAGTTGCAGGCAGTTTTTCCTTGAACTATTCCAGAACTGCAAGAGCTGAGACTGTCCAAAAAATGTCCTAGATCCATCTTTTTTTTTTTTTTTTTTGGTTCTTTCACCTGAAAAAAGTACAAACTTTTTTTTCCCCTCCTTTGGTGATTGGAACACAACCCAAAAACTTAAGTCGGGGTGTCCAGCCTTGGCAACCTTTAAGATCTGTGGACTTCCAATTCCCAGAATTCTCTAGCCAACATATTTCTTGGCCAGATGGCTGGCTCGGGAAATCTGGGAGTTGAAGTCCACAGGTCTTAAAAGTTGCCAAGGTTGGACACCCCAACTCAAGTCTTGGAGCAATCTGCACTTTACACTTTTTTTTTTGTTTGAAAAGCCGTCCTACTTTTGTGTGTGGTGTGACCAATGATGTGCCCAGAGCACTAATAATGAAAAATTAAAAAAAAAAAACAACCCACAAAATACTAGTTGCTAGCAAGTTGTCAAGAGCTGTGGAGCACTGTAGTATTTTGAAAGCTTTGGCGATTGCTTCACTGCCCCTTACCCTGATCCCCGAAACCCCTTCCCAGGTCTGTTCTGTCTGCTGCTCTTTCTGTTTGCCTCTTACCTTTCTTTCTGTCAGTCGAAGAGTTGGTCAAATCATTCTTAAATGGCCTTTTCTCGTCGTCCCCCCCCTTTGCCTGTTCCCCTGACTCCACAACCCGATCCATTGAAAGCTATTTAAAATGATAATATTTTGCGCTGGGTTTCACTCACAGTTGTGGCTTGAAAATCCTGAAATGCAGTTTGGAATGTAAAATGGACCGAATTTGTGTGTGGAGAGAACGACTTCTCCATTTATGATTTCACAGTTATGTATTTTTAAAAAATGCCCAAGGTACTAGCTACTACAAATCTCCATTGATGATGGTATATAAAGTTAGCAAAAGTGATCGGGGAGGAAATAGGATAAAGCTGATAAATGTGGAACTGGATTTCGCAAGTCACAGCTGGATATTAAGTCGGTTCCCCTTCCTTTTTTTTTTTTTTCCTTCCTTCTCTGTCCTTGTAAATTGCTTTCTTGTCCTAAGCACATCTTTTTGAATTTTTCCAAAGTTTTTTTCTGGAAGTAATTAGCAAAAATTGTCCATGTTTTAGAAGTTTGATCCTGACACTGACAAGAAGACACGAGTCTTTTTTTTTTTTTTTTTTAAATCCAGTAAGAGCGATATAGAAATTGCTATTGGAGAACGTTTTTCCTCACCCCCAGAATGTAGGAGTTAACTGAAGATATTGACACGATTAAAATTAAAAACAAAAATCAGTAAAGGAATGTATATAATACTGCTCTGTGTTTTACAGTAAGATTTGTTGCTCTCAGACTGTGTAAAACAAAATTTATTCATGTTTTCTGCATATTAAAACAAAAATCTTATTGTACCAATTGGTAAACTATTAAATGAATATAAAACTAAACGTGTTTCTCTTTTGTTTAGGTGCAGAAAAAAAATGGATGATTTTACGGCTTGCCGTCCGGGCTTGCCGTAAGGGGAAAAGCAGATGTAAAATGCTCTCAAGCTTCATTGTAGAGGACAATATTGATCTGAGCTGTAAAGCTGAGTGGTTGGTTAATGGAGGGGAGATAATGACAAGGCTCGGGTCAGGCAGCTGATGAGTTTGGGCGGCACCCATTTCCTTGCCGTCAGAAAATGAGCTCCTCTTCACTCACTGCTGTCGTTTTTCTTGACACTGCCCTCCCAGGAAGGCCAGAATTGAGGGGATCCAGAAGGCCACCTTTGGTATCAGGCATCAACATTGGCTCCCTCTTTAGTGGGGTAAATGAGCCCATGTGCGTCTTCCCTCTCCGGGCTGCTGAAGTTTGATTCTTTTGCACAAAAAGAATGGAAGTAGCACATGAGGCCTAGGCCAGGGGTAGGCAACCGTGGCTCTTTTATGACTCGTGGACTTCAACTCCCAGAATTCCTGAGCCAGCCATGCTGAGGAGAAATGGAGAGGTTTCCATGCTGAGCCATGCTAGCTCAGGAATTCTGGGAGTTGAAGTCCACGAGTCATAAAAGAGCCAAAGTTGCCTACCCCTGGCCTAGGCGAAGGTGATAGTGGTGATCGTCGTCATCATTATCCCACCGTTATATACTGATCCCTGCCTTAGCAGCATGGTGGCCTAGTGGTGAAGACGCTGCCCTCCCACTCGGAAGGTTGAGAGTTCAGTCCTAGGCAGTGATTGGTGTTTCTCTTACCAGGGTGCAAAGAAAATATCTGCTGTGAACTCCGTGTAGGTGTTAGGAAGGGCATCTGGCCAGTAAACGCTCAGCTCCACTCAGTCGCCCGACTCCACCCCAAAGCAAGGGATTATAGGGTCATTTTAAAAAAATGATTCTGCCTCCTATTTTCCTTACAACAGCCCCCCTATTAGATGGGTTGGGCTGGAAGAGAGGGACCCAATCAGCTTTCATGCCTGAGAGAGAACTACAAGTCACAGTCTCCCAATTCATAGCTCAGCACCTTCGCCACTATGCTAAACTGCCTTTGAAATATGCACAAACTGCCCCTTAAGCCCCCAGAAATGCTAAGAACTTTACAGCTAGCCCTTGCTTGTTTTACAAGCACAGTTATGACACTATAGGACAGGTGCTCTATAGCTTGTAAAGCCCCCCTCCAGCTGTGGTAAATGAGATAACCCAGGACCATATATCTGCATTTCAGACAGTCACGTGTCTGTGTTTCAGGTGGGCCAGTTTTACAACCGGTTGAGGCGTTCTGTTAATTGGTCATGGCTTATTGCGATCCTCTGGCTGCAATT